ACCGCCTGTCCCATTGCATCATCCTCAGGATCCATTCCCGAATACAGTTGAAAACTTTTTCTCAGTCTCTCCAACCAATCTGTAGGTGACTCCTCTTTTCTTTGATATTCTTTGAATGCCCTATCTATATTCTGTCCCCTAGGAACAGATTCTCGTATTCCCTGAACAATTATACTTCTTAAATCATCCATTAAAGCTCTATCCTCTGGCCTTTGGTTATTCCAGTTAGGTTTCTCAATAGGCCATTTAGTTTCAGCAGCAGGACCCTGCTGATGCCTTCTGTCCCAGTTTCTCATGCCAGCTGCTCTAATCATTCCTCTTTCTTCTACAGTAAACAAGATGCCCAGTATTGCCTGCATCTCATCCCACGTATAGGTGTTAGGCCCTAAAAACTGATCAAATCTTTCAGAAACCCCTATGGGGTCTTCTAATAAATTTCCCATTTCCTTCTTAAAAGCCCGTACGTCCCCCGAACTGAGAGGTACCGATACAAATCCTATACCTCCTTGTCTCCCTGGCACGGCTGTTTCACGAAGAGGGTATAGCTGAGACTTCTGAGGGGGGTGTTCAGCTATTCCATGAGCCTCTGTTATATCATTAGGTAAGAAAGACTCACTAGCTTTATCGGCTGACAGGTGTACAGAGGTGGACGACAAAATGGCGGATTCCCGCCCTGGTGTGGATAAAATGGCGGATTCCCGCCCTGGTGTGGGTAAAATGGCGGATTCCCGCCCTGGTGTGGATAAAATGGCGGATTCCCGCCCTGGTGTGGATAAAATGGCGGATTCCCGCCCTGGTGTGGGTAAAATGGCGGATTCCCGCCCTGGTGTGGATAAAATGGCGGATTCCCGCCCTTGTGCCGAGAAATCGGCGGGCTTTCGCCCTGCTGGACTTAAAATGGTGGATTCCCGCCTTTGCTCAGGTAAGATGGCGGGTTCTGACACCCTTGGAGCACTTGGTGTCACTTCACTTTCCTCCCAGTACGGAGGGATATAAGGGGGAGGTGAACTCCGGAGTTCAGAATCTTTATTACAATTTACTTGCTTTCCCTGTTCTTTAAGTGGGAATAACCGAGTAGGAGTACTAGACCCCAACCAGATAACAGCATATTTGCACTCCTCCGGACAATAGGGTCTTTTTTCATTAACGTGAAAATTCAGCATCTCACAAATCCAACTTTCAAATGAGCCATAAATCGGCCAGCAAATACCACTCCCTATTGGTCTGCCTCCCCACACTTCAATACAATAATAGACCATCGTCTCTCTTGATTTCCCGAGAGTGTATGGGTTGTTATTCCAACGTTTTAGCAAAATTCCTAACGGGCTGTTTGCTGGGATGCCCTGCGACCTAGCCTCAAAGTCGCTGCTTTCACATCCTTTTTCTCTCAGAGAATCTAATTTCGTCTCACCCACAACACCACTTCCCTTTTCGGCTGACGAATCTCTGACACAGCTCTCCCTGTTCTGTGAACCACAACTACCTAACGTAGTCTGCCGTTTTTCTCGAGAGCTCCTTTTTACTGAGTTAATTTTACTCCCTAGTCCCTTCCCTTTTAGGGAACCCCCGGACCTCAGGAGCCGTCCCTCATCAAAGGACCTTCCTGGCTGATCTACTGCACAGCCACCCATGGGTGGGGAAACCTTGCTCTTCCCCGAGCCCATCTTCTGGGGTGCCTTCTCACACACACACACTCACTCGAATCACAGACGCTTCCCTCCGGTCGTGGCCTGGTCCCTCGCGGGCGACAGGAACCGCACTACTGGGAGGTCCACAATCACTTCGTTCCTCTCAGGGAACGTCTCAGACAGGCACACCCCAGGACTCCCTCCCAACCGCCAAGGGGGGAACGCAATACTCACCTCTCCGTGGGCGAGTCTTCGCTCTTTCCGGCAGTGCCCCGAGCACTGGAGCGGACCTTCCCCAACCAGACAACCCACCACGTAGCCGCCTCACCCTTGATCGACTACTGCCCTCAAACAGAGCTCACCTAGCTACCCCTGAGCTAGACGTTGTCTGGACCCGCATGCAGAGATTACAGAGATCTGCAGAACACACCTTTTCTTTTGCTTGTTCGCCTTAATAAACTGGTCGGTATGGAGAGGCTGAATGAAAGAATCTCCCGGGGCCGTCCAAAAAGGGACGGGGGCGCCCTTCCCCAAAGAGTGTTTCTATCACTCAGGGGTCTCCATCCGAGTCACGGCACCAATTGTGATGGATAAAAGAGGCTAAAATTTAGGTTTGCAAGGTAAAAACAGGTTTATTAATACTAACAAGCAAAAGCGGCTAGCCGGGCGACCGGGGGAAACCCTTGCTCCACCACAGTCCGCAAAATGGGGAACCGAAACAGCAGCAATTATAACCCTCGTTGGTCCCACCCCCCTAAGTCATGTCCATAGTCCATTGGTGAGACTTTCGCGGGCTATCATCTGTCTGGTTCCTCTTTCGCGGGCTAGTCCGAGGTTGGCTCCTCCGTTCGCGGGTCTTTGCCGTTGCTGAGGGGCTTCCACCAATAATATCAAAGTCCATAGTCTCTATGTGGCCGTGGTCCTGGAATTTTCCATCGGTAGACGTCATCTGATCATAGGACTCCTCGTGGCTTGCCCTCCATATTAGTCTCTAGTAATATGCTTATAACAAACAACTTTAAAATACCAAGTCATTCTGCGTTGTGTTAACAGACTCGTGGTTAGAGATTTCACAATCACTTATGACTCTTAACAATGTGGTTAGTAAGATATAACAACAACACCATTAACTCCCCTTTGAGCAGCAAATTTCCTGGTTTTACTTATAACACAAACTTACTTTTTTTCTGCCCCTCTTTTTCTGCTACTCTTTTTCTGCCTCATAAAAATGTTTTGGTTCTTGCTATATGTAGATTGTTAGCTCTACAAGATGAGTGTAGCTGAAATTGTTCCTTGGCTTGTGGGTTTAGCTTTTTTCCTGACAGTAGTTCCACTGTATCATTCTATATATGAAAAATAGAAGTGCTGCTTTCAGTTTTGAAAAAAATCAAGATACAGCTGGCAATTGTTGAAGTCTTAAGCCTTTCTGAAAACATTTATTTTATGCTTCAAATAAGTTTTAAAAATCTTGGAAAATGCTGATTATGAGGTTATTTTATTTGTCATTTATTCTAATGCATGTTCTGCAGCACTCCTATATCCTATATAGGATATTATGTAATAGGACTTACGTATAATAACATTTCTGCATTTTCTGATATCTGCTGAATGTTTGTGTTGTTGCAGATTTGGTAAAATGCTGTGTATCCTGCCTTGTCCTTTTACTTTATGTTAGGCTTGTATGAGTTTGACGGGTTTCTTCTTGTATCTTAAAAGAAGAGAGGAGCAGAAAATACTAATTTTTAAGCATTTTCTCTTAAGAATAATATGGAAGACTTTGTGACAGACTTCAGACTGCCAGAGGCTTGCCATTGCACATCTTAAGTGTGACAAAAGCTGACTTACTTGTGTTTATTGAGCGTATTTCCATTCTTTCTTTCTTTTTTTTTTCTTTTCCTGTTTTCTTTTCACTTATAACTCTAAAGCAGTTTATTTCTATTGCAGAGTAATGGTTCTCAGGGGATATTTTTAAGGGCTGAAAGAAATATTTCTCCCATCTTTGTGGAGGGTAAGGGGATTGATTTAGTCAACTGGAGTCTGGTCAGCCAGAGGATGTTGGAGGAAAAGTCTTGAAACCATTTTGAAAAATACTAAGAACAAGATAGTGAGGAGTCAGTGTGGATTTTTAAAGGTGAAATTATGCCTGACCCATCCAGTAACCTCCTCTGAAATTAACAACTTGTTGCATGAGGTGAAGGCAGGGGATGTTATTTATTTTGTCCTTGTCTGGTAAGGGTTTCAATGCTGGGTCCTCTAAAATCCTCAAAAACTGGTGAAAATAAGCTAAAATTCCTGCAGGTGCACAACAAATCCAGAAATCCTGAAATGTGTGAGGCTATAACTATTTATAGCAAATAATTATGCATTTGCCTCTTTGCTGTATTTTTATATGATGGATTGGTTTGATTCATACTGCTTGACAATACAAGTTTAGCTACTGTGTTGAGAAGACTGGAGAAAAATAAAGCAATTTGAAGAGGCTCATGTTTGGTTGAAATGCTGTTCTATTTCTGTCAGTGTGATTTCAATACATGTACAGACTATGTCTCGGTATGAAACTATTTTTAAAGGCATTTATATAGAGAAGACATTCAACTATTAATAGGGCTTTTGAGTGGGATACTTGCAGTTCTGTGAAGGATGTATTTTGTTGGGTTTTGGGTTGGTTTTTGGTGGTTTTGTTTGCTTTTTTGTTTTGGTTTGTTTGGGTTTTTTTTCTTTTGTTTTAAGGCTTTCATGAAGTAATGTCTTTTACTCTCTTAAATGCTGGGCAAATGCTAGAAGTCTTGTTGAAGTCTTAAACCTTTCTGACAACATTTATTTCATGGTTAAAATAAGAGCAAGCAGGAGTAAATGACAATCCAGAGCAGTCTTCCTCAGAAGATTGTTGGGAAGAAAAGGAAAGAGTTCCGTTAATCAAGTAAACAATCTAAAATACTGTATTGGTAGGCTGCACATCAAAGCCTGAATTACAATATACAGATTCTCTCTTTAATTTGCTTATATCTGTCTATCTTTGGTGAAAGATTAATGTTTTTCAGAGTGACTTTAGGCAAGTAAAATTGAGGACAAGCAGCAATAAACCATTTTCAGACAGGAAAAAAAGGGACAGAACTTAATACCTATGAAAAAACAGTATTCCTGCTACATTTCCATTAGTGGAAATGGCACACTGGCACACTGATGTATGCCAAGGAAAGAATAGTTTCCTAATATTTCAGAGAATCATAGAATGGCTTGGGTTGGAAAGGACCTTAAAGATGATCTAGTCAGTGTGTGTCTGTATGTCCATATAAATATATATAAAATATATGTATATTGTGATATGGATAATAATATATATGATATATGCATGTTCACACACATGTGCGTATTTATTCCTCACATGTTTCTTTCTGATAGTGTCTGAAGCAGAAATTTCCAGGGAGGCTGCTGACATGGAAATGAACAAGGAAAAGTATGTGGAAGAGCTGAAGAAAGCATTGGTGACTAGAGAAGAGTCAGCTGGCAAATACAACTATCTGATTTCAAGAGATCAAGAAAATGTGGTGTGTCAGTTCTCCTATGAAAGAAGTCTGAAGGATGGCTCTGTAAGTAGTTAAAAGTTTAAATTTTCCTGTCAAACTGTGAGAAGGATCTTCTTATAATCTGTATCTGTAGACACTTTTTGGTTATTTCAGGTTGTGGTTTGTTGTTAAAACTTTTCTGAGGAAGAAGCTAATTTAAGGTAATCCTCCTAGTTTGTGCTCTTTTCTTTATTATATTTTATTAGATGCCTTTTTCCTTGTGCAATATAGGAAATTTCAGCCCAGTTTGACTATTGAGATGCCAAAGGTTAAGTGATACAAATCTTCCAGTCTGTGTTATCAGTATTTCTGTGTATTTACGAAAGGCCATATTGACTCTAAACCACTTTTTGATGCTTCCTGTGAGTTGTTTGTGAGTGCTGTTCGCAGAATCAAGGTCAGGATTGCGAGTTTAGGGCCAAATTGTACTTAGAAAATGAAAGCAGTAAGTTTAAGAATCCTAGTTTTCTTGTCTGTGTCACACATAATATATTCTAAATAGAAGACAGATTAAATACATACTATATTTTAATAAGCAAAAGTATCTTCGTGTGTCTGGGCTCACATAATACACATTTCCATCAATGAAGGTTTATGAGAAATTAAATCGTATGAAAACATTTTTATGTCAATTTAGGAAATAATCTGGCCAAAGAAACTGAAAATGCAAAGAGCCCTGATTGTTATGTATGCTTTTAGGTTTGGGTGTCAAGAGTGTTTCTAGAAAAGATGTCATTTCTTGGGTGAAAGTTTTAGCTCATGTATTAAACTAATGCCTACAAATAAAATTGCCAAAGCAATTATATAAAATTAAGTAATAGAATTAAAGAATAGAAATAGCTTTCACGTGAGTAATAGAATATGTTTTCAAATGTTTTGCAAATTATCTATGAAAGTATTTGTGATCTGTCTCTTTCAGCATCACATTAGGAAATTAATCTTCCTGGGCTCTGTACATCCAGAGGGCTGATAGTCACCTGAATGTACATTTACCTCAGAGGAAGTGTAGACAAACTGCTCTGCAACTTAAACAGGACTTCAATTCAGTGTTTATCTCCTGTCAGTACTTATTTTGTCTTTACGTCTTTTATTTAGTCATTATGAATATTTTCTCCTTCTCTTTTCATATATTATAAACAAATTATAATGCGTTGCAGGGCAAGGGTGAGAAAATTCTATCAATCAGGAATAAATAGGATATTAATATTCTTTAAGATAATTAAGAATTAATTTATTATTGAAATTTTATTATTTATTTAAAATGAATTTTAATTTAATTATAATTATAAATTATTTTTGTCATTTTATATAAAACAACAGGAGAGATAACAGAAAAACATGCATGAAGATGTGGTTGGTTGTGTTTGCATGCTGAATGTTCTGCTTAGTATTTAATAATTGAGGTAATGCTTTTTAGTTAAAAATCCCAGAAATTCTGAATTGTATTGTTACACTTTGAGCTATAAAATGCTTATCAATTCATGTAGTTATCTATTATTTTGAAATTTTTCATCAGCAATGCTTTGTGTACAGAATAAGTACTGAGTAAACAGATATAATTTGTCATAAAAAAGAAAAGCTTTCCTATGGTAGTGCATCAGAAGTGAGTGTTAAAAATTTTTAGGCCTTAAAAAGCAGTATTTGTATTATTACAGATGAGTAATTTAATCTTCGTTGGCTGAAAGTTAGTTGTACCACCAGTGTCACTTGATTTTCTTCAGCATAACTTTGAGCTTGGTGATTACTGATTTTTGAAATACTCTTATATGTATTCTTTATATAATTTATAGATATGCATGTAATTTCAGGGTTTTAGAGGATGCATAAATCTGAATAACTCTATTTTCAATTTTTTTTATTTTTATTTTTGTCATACAGTTACACATTCATTTTCCAGTCTTCTGGTAGAGAATATCAATAGTTTTGGATTAATGACTGGTAGTAGTCCCTGGATGATGATAAAATGTGCTAGCTACTGACTTTTTGTTTTCATGGCTGTACCAAACTGTGATATTTGAAATAATTTTTACCTCTTTTGGAAAAGGTTGCTAAAGCTCTACTTACCTAAAATTTAATTATGTGCCAAAACTGCATTGGGTGGTCTATGGGAGTGCAAATAAAAATAATGGAATGATGTTAAGCAAAGGAAAACATAAGTATATTACTGGGGAATATTTTTTGATGTGGAAATTTTTTTTACTGCCCAAGTGTTTTCCAGAGGAAGTGGTGGAAGCCCCATTGTATCCCTTAAAAAGGGACTGAACAGAGGAATGGAAATGCATTCTGTCACTGTCATGGCTGGGCTTCGCGAACGAAGATTTGGGAAGGCTCTAACCACATTTGTTACAGGCACGTTGGTGACTTATGAGGCCAATACGAGATAGACATATCCGATTGCAAAAGGCACAGTAGAAAGACTCTTTAGATGGTAAATTCTGCAGAACACGGTTCTTTCTGCATTGCCTTTTCTCCTCGAGAGTGATCCTGCGTGTGTTCTCAAAGGAGACAGCAGCGTTATAGATGGTGTGTCTCCAGGCCTCCCGATTTGAGGCCAGAGTAGACCAGTTATGGTGATCAATATGGCCAAGGCTGAGATGTTGTTTCAGGCATTGGCACTATAGTATATTTGATGACTTAGTAAGGTGCCTGATTCATCTGTTGTTTAGTTAATGAGCAAGTAGGTTCCTTCCCTGAACTGATGTCTCCCACCAAAATTAGATATTTAAAAATAAATGCTTTTACCTCCTGCACTATTTCGACTGAATGAAACCAAACCTGTCTCTGCAAATAATTTTTATAATAATTGATATTTAATAATTGTGTGTATGGATGGTTTATGTAGTGAATGAGTGCTGATGGGTTTTGTTTTAAAATAGATGGAAAACTCACAAGTCAGAAATCTGATTTAAGTGAGATCCTCTGAAATGTGTTTATTTTGTAGTGTCACAGTTTCATGTAATGTTAAAAGCAACAGAATAAGAATAATAATCTAATTTAAGGGAAGTCCATAAGGGCTTTAGTGCTTTCTTACTTATCTTTTTGAAACAGTGGTCAGGCGAAGATAAAATGATGTCTTGAGTTTTATAAATACTGGTTCTAGCTGTGCCTCAGCCTGATGCAGCTGTGCCTAAAATGTTATGCCTTTAAAAATGGGGGGGTGTTTTGTGGGCATTCGGACGTGTTTTGTGGAAATTGGGGTGTGTTTTGTGAACATTGGGACTGTTTCATGATTTATCTTCCTCCTGACAGGTGGCTTTACTGCAGGGCCTTGGGCGCTGTGCCCTCAGGAGCTGTTTATGGGGTGGTGAGGGCACAGTGTCGGCTGTCGGAGTGACATTAAAATAACAATGGTCTCGGTATATACAGTGGGAATTGTGTGTCGAGACAGCTGCGGTGAGAAAGGGCCACACACACAGAGGCCTCAGCGAGGGGCCATTGGGGCTGGTCCAGCTCAACTGCTGCCACCTAAACAAACACCACCACAGAGTCAGTGATTTAACGCTTGATCTAAGTAGGTGACCACTTGGAAGTAAACCTTTCCAAGTACTTTAGCGAGTCACTCTGCATATAATAAATAATGTAAATCTGGCAAGCTTTTTTTTTTTCCTGAAGGCTGCCAATTAAATAGACTAAATAGCCTTTGATAAACAATTATTTGAGTGCTGGCAGTGTCTTTTTTTTACGGTGATGTGACAGGCTCTGGGGCTTTTTTCCCCTTGCCTTTCGCTGAAGTTTGAAAACAGGGAGGATAAGCGCTTAACAAATTCCACCTTAGATGCAGTACTGTTGCTAATTAGGATGATGGAAGAGATGCTGTTATTTGTCTCTCCTGTTTCCTGTGGCTGCTTTTCCCTTGGTCGGTCCTGTGAGTTCGTTGTGAGTTTATTACAAGTTTAAAAATAGCTGAAAAAACTCCTTCTAACCAAAACTTCTTGCAGCGTTCTGAATAAGAGGAGTAGAATGGGTAGGGCACTTTTACACTGTCCAAACTGTCTTGGTTCAAGGTTTGGAGAGTTTCTTTGCTCCAGACCTCTGAGGATATGTTGTTTGGTTAACAAAGTTCACTGAGAGTTCAGGTTATTTCCCAGGCAATTGGACCAACTGCTCAGCTGAGAAGACAGAAAGATGAAATGATTAATCTTTAGGTCAGTGTAAAAGTAATGATTCTTCCATATCACTTATACCTATGTACCTCAGGATTTGAGAATGGACAGTTGGATAAGTTTCTTCAAAGCCCAGTTTAGAAGTAACTTTTTACAAATGAGCATTATATAATAAAAACAGTAAGTGTTATCTTTTTCATAATCTCAGACTTCTAAGTGCTACATGATTTTTCCCATCTTGCCTCATGTGCACACTTGGATCTTGCAGCTACCCTTGAAATGCTTCTGTAGTAAGAAAAAACTTTTCTGAAAAAATTTGTATTCTGCGCCCCATATTAGTATGTATGCAAATTTGACAAAAATCCTGGTGAATTAAGTAATTAATTTCCCTTGCTTAGCTATTTGATGGTCCAGGCATTTGATTGCTGCTTCTAATAGGCAGTGGTTTGGAGAAACAAATTTAAAATAAATGCACTCAAAACTGAGGGATTGTTGAAAAAAGGAAGAATCAAACACAGCAATGAATAAATACTTCAGTTTCTCTCTTCCTGTTAAGATTTGTGTATTTCACTGGAACTATCCAGTTGAACAAAAATGATAATTTAGTTGTTTTAAAGCCTAATATAAATGACTTTATAAAGAGTAATTTGTAATTTCACAAGTGCAGTGACAGTCTAAATATATTAAAAGTATCCATAAAGTGTTCATAAAATAACAGATTTTGATAGTACAGGAAAAATTGTCAGTTGTCCTTTCTCCCTCCTGGTGTTATTGTATTGTTTCCCCTCCTTTCCTTTTGGTTCCTTCAGATTTTCCCTTCTTGGCAAACCTGCTGTGCATTCCAAATCAAGACTTACTTTCACTTGTACAACTGAGTGCAAATGCTTTCCTTTTATGAGGAAAATCTTTAAATCATGGCGTATTTACAAGCCTTAGTCTCCCAAACTAAGATCACAGAGGACAGTAGATGCTCTGGAAAAGAGATTACTGTGTGTGGAATTTAAAAGTTCACTACAAGACTTTACTCCTGTATTTTCTGTAAGGGTGAACATCAGTCGGAACCTGAAGAGCAACAAGAATCCCACCAGTGTTTCTTTTCAGGAACTCCTTTACAGCTCCAGAGGAAGCATGGAGGTCTACCTGCAAAGGTACAGGAAACCTCTCAAACTCAGGATAGTAGTGTTTTGTTAACTTTTACATTCACTAAAATAGAACCTTTTGCAGTCTAAAATATTGAATGCATGTGTTTAAACCTTTGTAAATGGATTCAGTGAACTATCTGGGAAGGTCCCAGATGATTGGAGGTTGGCGAATGTCACCCCAATCCACAAAAAAGGCTGCAAGCAGGACCCTGGCAACTACAGGCCTGTCAGCCTGACCTCGTTGCCTGGCAGGGTTATGGAGCAGATCATCCTGAGTGCAATCACACAGCACCTTCAGGATGGACAAGGGATTAGACCCAGCCAGCATTACTGACCAACCTGATCTCTTTTTACGATCAGGTGACCCACCTGGTGGATGAGGGGAAGGCTGTGGATGTGGTCTATCTAGACTTCAGCAAGGCCACACTGTCTCCCATAATATACTCCTGGAAAAGCTGGTAGCCCATGGCCAAGTGTACCCTCTCCTGGATTAGGAGCTGGCTGGAGGGTCGGGCCCAGAGAGTGCTGGTGAATGGAGCTGCATCCATCAGCCGGTCACCAGTGGTGTTCCCCAAGTCCCTTTATTGATGATTTAGATGAGGGGATTGAGTCCATCATCAGCAAATTTGCTGAACCAAACTGGGAGGGAGTGTCGACCTGCTGGAAGGCAGGAGGGCTCTGCAGAGGGATCTGGATAGACTTGAGAGATGGGCTGATTCCAATGGGATGAAGTTCAATAAAGCCAAGTGCCGGGTCCTGCAGGCAACTACAGGCTGGGCACAGAGTGGCTGGAAAGCAGCCAGGCAGAAAGGGACCTGGGGGTACTAATTGACAGGAAGATGAGAAGCCCAGGTGGCCAAGAAGGCCAATGGGATCTTGTCTGTATCAAAAATAGCGTGGCCAGCAGGAGCAGGGAAGTGATCCTTCCCCTGTACTCTGCGTTGGTGACACCTTGAGTAAGTTCTGGGCCCCTCAGTTCAGAAAGGATATTGAGGTGCTGGAGCGGGTCCAGAGAAGAGCAACAAGGCTGGTGAAGGGACTGGAGCATAAGATAGGCTGAGGGAGCTGGGGTTGTTTAGCCTGGAGAAGAGGAGGCTCAGAGGTGACCTCAACGTCTATAACTACCTGAAGGGAAGTTCTAGCCAGGTGGGGGTTGGTCTCTTCTCTACTCAGCAATACGGGCTTAAACCAGGGGAAATTTAAGTTGGATATGCAGTCTTTAGAAATGGAATGGGCTGAATGGCATTTTTGATTGGACGTTTGAATGATCTAGTAAATGGACTGGATTTGGACCAAGGGTTGGACTCGATGATCTCGGAGGTCTTTTCCAACCCAATCGATTCTATGATTCTATGATTCTATGATTCTATCACGAGGACAAAGCCTAAGGGTCTTCAATATGAGATTAAAAATTTGAAGCTATATTGCACATATATTTTAAATTTTTTAGTGATTCAAATATTCATTTAGAGTTGTTCTAAAATGTATTAGTATCACTGGAAAAATCTTTTGGCAGGAAGATTCTTTTCATCTAAATTATGAATATGGTTCTCCTGCAGAAATATGTTTCCCAGAGAGATAGAAACAGTGTACAAGAGTAAGTTTCTTGATAGTATCATTCCATGGAAAAGCTCTTACATAGAAGATGATTTTTTTTTTTTAATCTTTTTATTTCTCTCAGACACTGCTGTAAGTAATGTCTGATATTTCATTAAAAATTTAGCAGTAATTCTTTTGTTGGATACAAAATGTAACTGGTACTAGTTTTTCCAAGGATTTGGAAAAACAAATCCTTGTTTTTCTGGGTGCATTTTTCTCTGACGAATCTAAGTTTTTTGTGGGGTTTTTTTGTGTTGGTTTTTTTTTAAGGCTTTGAGGTTCAGCTTTTTGTTCTGTTCACACTAGCACATTTTCTTCTCAGTGTGTGAGTAATACCTGTATGTTATTAATATAACTCAAATATGTAATCATATGCCAATTCTTCTAAAGCAACTATTTCCTCTGTGGCTAAAGTACCAAGATTTTAAGTTACATGATATTTATCACAGGATAGGACTGAGAGCATTCACAGTCACTAAGAATCTTGATTTGTGGCAAATAATTGTCACAGATACTACTCTTACTTTCTTGACATTGTATTTTTTTCAGTCAGAGCAGTGGATCTCTGGAGTCTGATAAAAACTGGGTACTATTCCACCCAGAAATGTAAATACAAGGGCAAAGGTGGCGGATACTTGACTGTTTTTGGGTTTAACTTCTATTGCACAAGCTAATGTCAAAAACTGACGCTATAACATCTTTTTTTTTTTCATATACTTTTATTACTAGCTTGTTTTAAGACTTGTGGCTAGCAGTTGTTGTATTCCTAGGTTTTGCTCATCCTAGCCAAGCTGTGTGGTTTATCTCAAGTTTGTCAGACAGTACTTACAGAACATGAATGCAGTGGTTTCTTTCTGGTCTGATGCCAGAACTGCATGTGTTCATCAAATATCGTTTAGTCACTGCAGCATGTTTATGCCATCTGCAAATCCATGTGCTCCCCTTCCTGAACAATGGTCTTTAATCAAGGCCACTATTATGGAAAGGCTGGGAAAAGCAGTATACATAATCAGTAGGATGACAAAATTAGAGTTACACATATATTTTTCCTAACTGTATCATGTCGTGCTCAGGGTAACAAGCTTCCAGAGAGTACCACATCTCTGGAACTAGTACCTTTATCCATAATCTCTCTTACTTCTGTGTGTATTATTCAGAGTCTGAGTTGTTTAAAGAGCTTCATGGTAATAATAACAAATCAAGAGTGGTCATGGAGAATTGTAAGCCTATAGGAATTGCCTACTATCTTTTATTTGTTAGGAAACTCCATTTTTCCAGGTCTGTCTAAACAGAAACATCCACAAATCCATTTCACATCTGTTGTACTCCTTTATTCATATTACAAAAGCATATATTGGTTTTTTTGAACAATTTCTTCATTGTGTATAAAGCTCCACTAGCTTTTTGCTGGTACTTTTTTGCCTGGTACTAAAAGAACATGTGGAGAATGCAGGTATGTTTGAGATGGTGTTAACTCCCTTGGTAAATGCCAGGAGCTGAAGTGTGACACGTAACATTCTGAAAATGTGTGCATTCAGAGATGATATTCATGACATATGTATGATATGCACGATACATGTGTATATATATACATATATAGTAGATATTGTGATATATATTCATGAATATACAGTCAGTCACAATCTTATTTTCTGCATTTATCATAGATAATAGAATGGTTAGGGTTGGAAGGAATCTCAAAGACCATTAGTGTGTTTCTGTTAATTTTCTGGTAAATATTAATGCCAATTAAAGGCATTTTGCTTCAACAACACATCTTATATTGACAAGTTGATCTTTTGTTGTGGGTTTGCTTGTGGGATTTTTCCTATGCAAGTCAGTAGCAGTGTGGGAGGAAATATCTCTTTTCAGTTCTTCTGGTAGTTCTGTAGTGCTTGATAAAGCTGTGCTGGTTAATCCCAGTGTTCTTAGAGCTGGTTGAGACAACCATCCAGGACCTTTCTGCCTTTTAAAACTTTATCTGCCTTTTAGACTTTTTTTAGAAGCTGATTTTTAACTTATTTTTTATTGCAGTTTTAAGGCTTTAGACTGGTCAAAATCCAGCTGTCTAATGGTGGATCAATCCAGACGTGTACTCAGGGTTTATGATACTGCTCCTGCAGGACCTATTAACTTTCATATGTTAAAGTGTCATTATAGTGTAATTTTTTAATTGGAGATTCTCTGTGTCATTGCACAGCTAATTCAGAGGTAAATAGAAGACACTTGTGTTATGTGCTTTCTCTTTCTTATTTTGTTTATTCTTTAACATTAATTAAAATTAATACTATCTTAATAATTATGTTAATTAATGAATATAATGAAATGTTTATATTTATCACAGACCACATACTTGGTTTTGATTCATCTCAGAACTTTATGAAACTGCGGGCACAATCAAATGTTTATCAGTTATCAGTCAGTTTGAGAGTTCAGTTAATTTTTAGTTCTCTGTTTACATGAAGAAACACATGTATTTCATGGTGTATGAATGACTCATTAGGTTGTGTAAGTGACAATTACAAAAATGTGTAGTTTGTATACTTGGGCATGGAAAATGATGTCGTTCAACAAATGGCAGCTAGTTTAATTAAAAAAAAAATTTAAAAAGTCTCTAGAGTTAGGTCAGATGCTTTAAGAATTAACATCGATTCCACAACTGAGGAGTGTTTTCCTTTCATCTGCAGTTTTAAGCTTAATCTGGATCATGATGTTGGAAAGAAATACATTTGCATACGGTAAAGATGTATTTGTTTAAAATTACTTGTTGAAAAATTCATAGGGATTTCTCCATAAAACTGTTAATGTTTTAGTAGTTTGGTGAGTGACATAAAACCTCTGTGCCTTATTGTTTGAAGAGGAAATGACCATCAAGAGAAAGTGGTCTGCATCGTAGACGCTCTTTGAGAGAGTAAATGGTACAACTTACTAGTTGCATGATGGAAAACTCAGATTTAGCAGGCTACATTGAGCTCTCTGTAGACTTAATTCAGGATGGTAGCAACATGCATTGGTTTTGAGAAGCAAATATGTATTTTGCTCTAAGGCTAAAATAGCAACTAACAAAGAAATATTCTGAAATTCTGATTTTTTAATTTATTTTTTCTTAAGAATTGAGATATGTAGTGAGAAATGTAGGGGAAATTGTGGGAAAGTGTATTTTTTTCCCTCTTTCTTAGAATTCAGAAAAATGAATTTATGGTCTAAAGGTAACATTTATGTGGTGGCAGTCTGTGATGGATGCTTGAATCCATAATGAATGTTGGGTAATTATTGTTTTCAAAGTACTGTGAAACACAAGAGGGAGATTGTATTTGTTCTTAGAGCTTTTGGGTAGTACTGTAAACCAGCTTATTGCTGACAGGTAACATAAATTGGCTGTTGCTGACACCCAAGCTACAGACTGT